GCAGCCATGAGTAAAGTCAGTTTTCATAATCTAAAACAAGTCTGACTTCAAACATCAGTAGTATTGAGTTCTATATTTAAAGTTGCACATTATTGGTAATATTGAGGTCATAATACTATCTTGACAGCAATAGGGTTTTTCATTCTTTGAATTTCAAAAAATGTTACATTAAAATGTAATTTAAACATTAACCTAAAGATTCCATTTGGAATTCTTCTCACCATTAAAGCTCAGAAACATGGAGTGGGACGTTCTTGTTATACGTTAGCAAAACTGAACATTTAGACCTCCATGTAAAATGCTATTTTGTGCAAAACTGATGATGCACATTACAAGGAGAACAACATCTCCAAATGAAACATGAACATGTTGGTGGAAGCCTATTGCGATGGGGAATGCTTTTCTTAAGCAGGGACTGGATCAAAGTAAAACAGAGGGTAGAAGGATCTGAGGAAACTTGCTTGAAAGTGCAGAAGACTTGAGACTGAGACAGATTTTATCCTTTTATTGGGAAAAAAAAATGCTAAAAATACAACCAGAGATACAGAATTAAAAAAATACATGTACTTTTCAGGTTTTTGTTTCTAAAAGCCATTATGTTCTTCTTTGGTGGTCTCCTGTGTAAAACCTAAACAAAAATATATATTACAGTTAATTTTGAATCCAGACTAGAGAAAATAAATATGTTTAAATGAAAATAAAATATTTTACACCATCAAATTATGTCCAATTGTCCCGGTAAAGGGAATAACTTATGATAAGGATAATAACTTATGAATGTCATTGTGAGTCTTATGAGTAATTCAATTAAGTTATTGCTTCCATGAACATGAAGAACAGAGAAACAAAAAAGTATATACCAATATCTAAAATAAAATTTATATTACATGTAATAATCATAATTAATAATGACTAGTATAAATTAAAATCCTTTTTTCTCTCCCTTGGTAACACAAGTCCTAACCATCTCTAACACTATTGCTGTCAAGATAGTAATATGACCTCAATATTACCAATAATGTACAACTTTATTGTGTATTACAGTATACAACAGTTTTATTATTACTACTGCTTTAGTGTTGTTGTAATTAGAAAAATAAATAAAACAAAACTAGCTGGATTAAGTATAAAATAGTTCACTGAGCATTGGAGTTTTGCTATTGTAAAAAATGTAAATGACCGAGACAGCATTAGAGACCCCATGGAAAATTCATAGCACTTGTCAATGGTTAGAAGGAAGAAAAGGTTTTCTACTGAAGCACGCTGTTCTTTTTTCAGATGATGGCTTACTGCATGGTGTGTCAGTAAATAAGGATGAAATATGTAGTGAAGTTATCCCTCAAGAAACAAGTTCTGCGATTCGTTTATACCCACTGGCTTTAAGCACAATGAGTGCTTTTGTTATCAGGATACGAACACAATTCAGCTAAAGCATCCTGTCACCCAACCGGTAACAAGATAAATGCTTGTTACCCTCTTAAAAAGGGTGGAGATAAAACATCCCATCTGGTATCTCTATATGAACACCTCTCATTTGGGCTTGTCGAGTGGATCTCAAACAGACACAGCAATTACAGCCTTATTGAAAACACACTTCGGTTGGGAAGTTCACAAATTCCCCAGTGAGCTACAGTATATTTAATTTGTGAGAAGACGTAAAATGAGCTTAATTCAGAGATCTCGCAGCCCCGGCGATGTATTCAGGGAGGGTTTTATGATAGCTTCTCGTGTGTCTCATGTCTCTGCTGTCTGTTTGTCCCTCTGTCTGTCCCTGCCCTGCTCGGATGCTCGTCACGTCGCTTTGCCCTTTGCTTTGGACCATCAATGTCAACACTACATTCCTGTGTGGAGCTCAGCTGTGACGTGTTTTCTCCCACCTCTGCAAGCTTTTGCATTCACTCTTCTTGCCTGTCGGTGATCAAATAGAACAACATCAAAGAAACATGACAGAGAAATGTCAGAAGTTGTTGAGGTCAGGACGCAGCCACAAAAGTATCTATTTGCTTACTTCATCATAAGGTTGCATGTATCCATCTGTGTGGTTGGCAAATCTATGAGATGATTTTAACACAGAGTCCAGGAGTTCTCTAAATTAATCACCTCTTGCGGGGCTCCAGAGGTGTTTAGATTCTAAAATTAGGGTTTTATCTGACACCTTCAGACACACACACACACACTCATACCTCCTCACTTTATATTAGTTTCATTTATAAAAATAAAAAAAATCACATGAATGAGATGGCCCTTTTTACTTCTGCTGTTACACATGAAAGGTGTCTAAAAATACACTTTAAGAAAAAATAAATAAATCCCACTACAGAGCGAATTGTCAGCACATCTCATCGCTCCATCAGAGCTAAAAACAACTGCAAAGGATAATATTCAGACTCATGATTTCATGCAACTCGAAATGTAAGGCACCTGTATTCTCAGCAAAAGAGATTATTAATATTTATGTCTACAGTAATTGCTGTCGCTGAGTTGAGAAACATATGGGAGCTGAGTGAGAGGTGTACGGAGACTTGTGTGTCTGTATCTGTGCACATGTATTTGAAAGGACTGACAAGGATGCCAATGAGCAGCCGGTGCTTTGGGATTATTACATCATTAAAAACAGTGCAGCTGAGCCTGCCTCATCATCCCAGCAAATTAGACAGCAGTGGATGCCGGGTCATCTCCCATGTGATGCAATACTTAGGTTACGCAGAGTACTGTGATATGATGGTCATAACAAGCTTAAATTGGGACATCTTTGGTTTATTATTTTTATGTTGTGTGGGTGTTTTACTACAAAGATTTTGATGTAAATTTTATTTTCTTTTTCTCCCTTGTGAGGTTGAGCTTTGGTAACAAAAGTCCTAATTGTGTCTAATGAGACATCCAAACACGAGAAGGATAATTCCAGAGCTTGTTAGGGAACTGGTGCATTCTATTTGTAGGCAAGTACAGCAAATTGTCAGGGATTATTTTGACATTTTCAATGTAAACATTGTGTAACTTATATCTGAAGCTCAATAACAAGACTAGCAGCATGGAACACTTTGGTAATTGCTCTGTCAGGGGAGGTGGGCATTGTGAAGATTATGTTTGAGCTACTATTTTCTAACAATGTGGATTCATTCCTACTCCATATACCATTTAACATGGTCAAGTCTTCTTGATGTTTAAGGGTGATTTTATTTCTAGTAAAATGACCGCTTCAACTAAACAAAAAATACAGTCCTAGGTAAAATCTCTGCCTAAATACTAAGTTTTTTATAACTGCATAGCCCTACTAATTGGCAACAAAGTCTTTTAACATTAAAATGTTTTGTGGGAAGTGAACGTAAACAGAGTCGTAGTGCATAATTCCAGTGAGTGTGGCAAAGAAGTGTTGGAGTTAAGAGTCAGTACATATAGAGATTAATTTAAAATTTGGTGGACCAAGATAATCACCAATAACCTGAAACCTAACATACCTGTGTTCCAATACAGGTTCTCATAGATATTCTAATCTTGCTAACAATTGTAGTTTGTTGGCTAATTCTAGCCAACAAACTCAGTATTTCTTTATAAGAGCATGTTTAAATTGGGACACAATATTCTCTGGGAGATTGTTAAATCTGTGCATAAACTGGCTCAAAATCATTGGACTTCAGAGGTCATTATTGCATGTCCTCAACTCTTCGGTCCTTCAGTTTGAGGGTGCTAATTGAGAACACAGCACTTACAATATTTTTTTTCGAAAAGTAGAGATTATATCTGTGGTTAATGGCATTTCAAGAATCAAAAACAAATTCATCTGCAAACTTTGTTAAAACTGTTTTATGCCAAGCCAACTTGTTTTCATAAAAGTACTTTCACCTTCTTTTGAAATAATGAAAATAATGAAATAATGCCAAACCTCACTTATTCTCACACTTATTCTTTGGTGCATGAATCATCAAGTTGATTGTGCTATACGAACATACATAGTTCTCAAACTATGCCTTCATTTGTGTTATCAAACACAAATGGAGGTAATGCTGGTCATGGAGATTTGAGAGGTGAAGCTCAAGAAAACAGGTTAGGTATGTGATGGTGGCTGGTAGTTTTCTGGCCCACATGCAGAGTCACCCTTGAGATATCAGTGGAACGTTTTAGTCACAAACAAAAATGTAATGGGCAACAGTTGGGGTCACTCTGGACAAGTTGGGGTCATCCAGAGGGAAGAGAGGGAAGTTATTTTAGGAGTCATGAACAGAGAGGCCGTAAGCAAGCGTTGGGAGAGGCAAGTCAGGTTTTGGTGTGTGAAAAGCATGCATTCCTGAAGGGAGTTCGGAAGGCGCTGTGGTCATCTGATGGTAGAGCGTTTGTTGCTGGACAGTCGGGTGAGGAGCTGAGGGCATCAAAGCTGCTGTAGATTGTTCAACATGAAAATCTTGAGATGGCAGGAGAATATAATCAAACCTCTGGAGAATAAAGACCTCATGTCACAAAAAGATCCACAAGAGAAACTCACAGAAAAAATGCATAAGGTCACAAGAAGTTTCTGAAGAGCTGGAGTCTACCATCAAAGTTAATCATCCAGCAAGGAGTGAAGGTCCTGCAGCTCCTATATTAACCAGAGTCCCAATGAGGTGATTAACCCCGGGTGTGCAGGCCAGCAGAGCTCTCCAGCAATCAAATAGTATCGATGCTCAATTACAAATTTTTTTTGATGAAACCCGTTTTTTCTTTTTTTATGTTTTTTTTTTTTTTTTTTTTTTATGTGGTCGTTCACACTGCTAATTAAACCAGAGGGCAACAAGACTTCTGTGTGAAAGGTTTATGTCCCCGAAGTGACCCACCATGAGCAGCAGAAGAATGTTGATGCCACACATCATGTTTAGTAAAGCAATAATGGATGCTGCCTTTTATAGATCAATTTTAAAGTTTATTCGGCAATGGAAGCCATCTTATAAAAGTAATTGTACATACAGAAATACAACAAACTAGAAAAGTTCACATCTAAGATTATTCACCTATGTGATGTTCCACAGGTGTGCTCCAGCTGAGGATGGCAGGAGATTCCCGAGTCCTCATGGACCACAACATGGAGATAGGGGTAACACCTGCACAGGTAAACTGCAAATCCACAATTTTTTGCTGAAAGGTTGATGTTTGCTAAACTGCAGTAAATAAGATGGAGAAGGAGGAGAGGAAACAAAGCTGGCGATTGCAGAAGCTTAACAGTAGGCAAAGTAAAACGGCTATTAAATGTGCAACCAGTGTGCTTTCAAGATTTATTTAGGTTTTGGAGAAGTGCTGACAAACAAAATATAATTAAATTTCCTCAATACTCAGATCAATGCATAATTCAGTTTTGCTAGCACTGAGAATGATAAAGATGTCCAACACTTGCCTATAACAGATGGTGGAGTCATGCTTGTTATCTGCGCTCATTCCCCAGCTGACTGGAACTTTTGGCGGCTACTCAAGCCTGACAAAAAAAAGGCTCAATAAGGAAAATGGAAAAAAAAACAAAAAAACTTCCACTTACTGCTGCCATGCTGAGGCTGCTAATTAATTTGTTTATGGACCATCAACCCCAGGTACTGACTACAAAAGGCAGTACTGGTTGAGACAGCTACTTCTATGACTCAATTAGACCATACAAGATTAAATGAATGAGCTTGTTTTCATGAGTGATGTAAAAGGATGGCTTTCTACACAAACTACAAGCTTTAAAAATTGACTACTAAAGAAACACTTTAAATTGTGGTGCATGCTGCTTGTATATTGGAGGGAGATGCAAAGAGGACCCTTAATATACTATATAAAAGTGCGACAGATGTATCTATTCTATTTACTCCCTTTGTCCTATATGAGTCAAAATTAGGAATGCAATGGTCAATTTAGGAAAAGTTATGAAATTTCAAGTTGGAAAAAGATCGTTTAGGGTATTTTCTTCTACAGCTAAACATGCTGGTGGGTCACTTTTGACCCGCAAGGCAACACAACGGTAAAGGTTGAACCATTCAGCCTTAACTGATTGTTTACTGTAATATCACCACATGCTGCAACAGCTCAAAATCTCCTGTCCTCTCTTAGGGTAAGGGAAAAAGTTGCAAGTAGTAAACTCATTGTCCCTAAATTTGTAAGTTTTACCTTGTGTTTACATGCTATGATAACATTTCATCCAAACTGATCAAGTTGCTTCAGGTCAATAAGCATCGTCTCTCAGTTCTTCATTGATATGGTCCTTACACAAGGATGACCTCAAATCAGTCTGAAGAAAATCATTACAGTACACCCATGTCTGACTGAAAGTGCATAATTAAACATAGGAGAGCAGTAAAAGTTCCCCTGACACATCAATGATACTACCTTTAATAAACCTGTCGAGCAGATTTTAATTGTCGGCTCTGTAATCAAAGGCACTGCAAGGTCATTGTAGTGCTTTTGATCCATTTCTTTTCCAGCTAAACTGACAGTGGAAAGCTCGTAAAGGCCAACATGAACACAACAAAATGAACATTTCTCAATGATATCCGCATGATACTGAACAAATATAGGCGACAAGTGTCCAATTAGCAGCAATGTATGTTGAGACAACTTCACATCATATTTGAAAATTTCATTTTATCACTGGTCATAGGTTTGTTTGTCAGCTGCACATGGCTTTGTCTTGATGTATGTTTGTTATTACTTCACTGCTATATGCTTGTGTTACTCAAAAGCAAAACAAGGTCAGCCTTTGTTGAAATACATCACCGAAGTGTGAAGCTGTAGTGCTATTTTCCTTTAACCCTCGTGGAAAATGACATTCAATTCAATAACAATATGTGGCTGCTAATAAAAGCAGCTTGTGTCAATGATAACATAAGAGTCTGTTAGAAATAATGGAAAATTTGCTCAAGCTAGCAACCCTTACCTAGCTTGACCACAGCTAAGGGAGAGAAAAGGAGAGAACACAGGAGACACAGAGGGAGACAGGACACAGCTGTGGAGCCAGACTGCCTTGCTGGAGCAGGGCCAGCACAGACAAAGACCCCGGTGTCCTTGTGCTCTTTTGTCCTTAGTCTGTTTCTGTTCGGGTCTGGTCCATATGCACACATTGACTGGCACCTTCAACGTCAGTAGCAACCAGAGCACAGGAGGCAACTTTATGATGCAGCTATTGATTGCATTTGGTGTTGCTGTGAGACAGCCAGATGTAATGAGTGTTGGTTTTTTCTGGTATCACTGAGCACATCACTTAAAACAAGTTCACTACTAAAACTTTACCCCAATGGTTCTAAAACCTTTTTATTAGAAAAAGCACCCCAATCTGTAAGCATTTTTATGAATTGCATTATCTTGAGAGACATTTTTGAAATTTAGACTGAACCATGTAAAAATTCGTTGTGCCACAAAAAGAACATCAGCAACATTTAATTATGTTTCCATTTTTACTTGAAGGGTGAGATTTCAGGCAGCACAAGTACCCATAGTACATGTACCATAGTTTGAGAATCATATACTTACAAAACATAAAGGCTGTAAAAATAAATTTGTACAGGAAAATAAGTAAATGTTCAGTGCAAACTTCTTTCAAGCTGTTTGTGCACGCTTATTTTGTTTTACCCTCTGTTTTTTTCTCTCTTTTGTGGTCCATCCTAGGTAAAGAAACTCCCGAAGCATCTGCGGGAGCCTCAGATCTCAACCGAGCGAACCCACTTGATTTCAGAACCTGTAAAAAAGCCACGTCAGCGGTATGTGCAGAAGGATGGCAAGTGCAACGTTCATCACGGAAATGTGCAAGAGACCTATCGTTACCTCAGTGACTTATTTACAACTCTGGTGGATCTGCGGTGGCGCTTCAGTCTATTAATTTTTACCTTGGTTTATGTTGTCAACTGGCTTTTCTTTGGGTTTCTCTGGTGGCTTATTGCACTGGTTCGTGGAGATCTGGTGCATGGAGATGAAGAGGGCTGGACCCCATGTGTGGAAAACCTCAACAGTTTTGTCTCAGCTTTCCTCTTCTCTATTGAGACAGAGACTACCATTGGGTATGGCTATCGTGTCATTACAGAACGATGCCCGGAAGGTATTATACTGCTCTTAGTGCAAGCCATCTTGGGATCCATTGTTAACGCAATTATGGTGGGGTGCATGTTTGTCAAGATTTCACAGCCAAAGAACCGCGCCGAGACCCTCATGTTTTCGACCAATGCTGTCATATCAGTGCGGGACAACAAGATGTGCCTGATGTTTCGAGTGGGGGACTTGAGGAACTCTCACATTGTGGAGGCATCAATTAGAGCAAAGCTCATCCGCTCACAGCAGACCAAAGAGGGGGAGTTCATCCCACTCAACCAGACTGACATAAATATTGGCTTTGATACAGGGGATGATCGGTTGTTCCTGGTGTCACCACTCATCATTTCTCATGAGATCAATGAAAAGAGCCCCTTCTGGGAAATGTCCATGGCACAAATGGAGAAAGAGGAATTCGAAATCGTCGTCATCCTTGAAGGCATGGTTGAAGCCACAGGTATGAAGAAAGAAACAAATGAAAAAGTAGAATTGGAGGATGTGTCAAGAATTAATATATTTTGTTTGCAAATATAAAGAGTACAAAGTGACATTAATAATGGATGGAAGGATGGATAGAGGAAATGGAGAGGAAATAAAGGTGTTCTGCAGATTTAATGTTGTAATTTATTAAATGATGAAAGGCTAATTGAACTTTCTTGGAGCATCAAAAATACTAAGACATTTAGTTCAGTAACAGTAAAAGTTTTAATAAGGATTTGGTATTACATAAGCTCATGACTGTTCTTCAATCGAAAGGGTTTTGTGTAATTTTCTTAAATGGGACGTAAAACTAAAACCTACAAAAGCATTTCAAGTGTTTCCTTGTACTCTCGGCAGCCCTCATCCCCATTATTGCTACTTCCAGGTTTTGTCTTTGATATTGTTTATTTCAAAATGAATAAAGTGTAGCTACCCACACTACAGGTTTTTGTTTTGGGTAAATTCTGAAGTCCTGGCTGGTTACATTTACAAGGCCAGGAGCTGCTGCTGTGAGAAGTCAGAGGACTAGAATCCATAGTTAAATACTCAGAATATTGAAATATAGTCAGAATATTAAAAAATATATATACATATATATTTCTAGCGCAATAAGGATAATAAAGTTCTATTGACAGGGGAACTGGCATAAAATTCCAGTACCAATTAATGATCTGCTGAGAGAATCTATTGGAAGAATTGTTGTTGATATTCTATAGCATAGTGATATGCTTTGAATGTTGTCATTTTTAATGATTTGTGTTTCAGTTGCTCTCTCCCACATGGACAGCTGTCTAAATGCAGAATGCTCAAGCAGTCCATCTGATTTTCTTTTGTGTTATTCAAATTTTTAGGGTGCACTGAACACTGAACACGAACACGCATATGTCAAGTTTGCACTGCAAACTTGACATATGCAGAGATATGTCAAGTTTTCAGCTAACACCTTTTCAGAGAAAATGTTTGCATTTAGGGAGTAAAAGATTTTTCTTTATTTTATAGTAAAACCATTCCTTTCTTCCATAATTTATTGTGTTGCTGCTATATTCCTAAATCCTCTTCATTTTATGAAATCAAATGAAAAACAATTTGATTCATAGATCTCCAGTGCAGCAGTGTATCTCATCCAATATGTGTTATTATTTTTTAAAACGCCAGCATTTGTGTAACAGAAAACATACTCCACTTTAGGGTTGAAGAAAGAAGCCGTTTAACTGCAGTGAAACATTATGTTCTGAAAAATATGTGACTATGCTGCAGTTTGTTGTAGTACCATCTTCTGCCAGCGGCCAAGTTATGTGCTATAGGTGTTGCCGGCAACAGTTTTTTTGTTTTCATTATTTGATGCTTGCAAACTTGAGATGGAGGGTTTAAGTTTTTGCCCGTAGTAAAATTATTTATACAAAAAATAAGACTTGTTTAAGCCATTTCTCAGAATTCATAAAACTCCAGCCTGTTGTTGCAAAAACAACAACAGGCTCTTTTCTGCTGAGGCTCTTTGCTCTTTTTTTGTAAGTTAGAATACTTTGCCATCTTTACATGGAAAAGGACACATTGAGAAGAGACAGAAAGCTAAGTTTTCAAAAAGTATTTTACTGAAATATAATTCTAATATATCAATCCCATGATGGAAGAATTTTGACTATTTTATTATTTGGTTATTAACTCTGTGCTACAATCTGATGGTAATTGTTTCAGGAATATAAAAGCATTAATTGAAATTAGTGTTCTTTTAGGAACTATATCATCTGAAATCACGCTACGTTTTGCTTTATTAAAAAATAAATAAATGAATCCTTTATATACTGTAACCAATTTTTTTTGCGAAAAACTTCTAGTGTACTGTATTTTTAACATAATTTATTGTGTTGCTGCTATATTCCTAAATCCTCTTCATTTTATGAAATCAAATGAAAAACAATTTGATTCATAGATCTCCAGTGCAGCAGTGTATCTCATCCAATATGTGTTATTATTTTTTAAAACGCCAGCATTTGTGTAACAGAAAACATACTCCACTTTAGGATTGAAGAAAGAATGTTTCACTTTAGGCAGTGAAATATTATGTTCTGAAAAATATGTGACTATGCTGCAGTTTGTTGTCGTACCATCTTCTGCCAGGCCTGCATTATGACATACAGGCCTCTCGGCATGCAAAGCTGACATGCCTTGAAAGAATTGAAGCTATCACTATAGAAAAAGGCAATTCCACAAATAATTGGCTCATGGAGGATGAATACAATTAGACAACATAGTTGTTACCTTTCTCTCTTGTAGTCTGAATTAGACACCGACGTGACTCACAATGCTGTAGAAAATATCCTTTTTAGTTACCTCACTACTGAAAACAGCGAACTTTAAGATTTTTTTAAACATGTAATGTGTAACTCATTCTATAGTGCATTCATTGATTGGAACTATATCGGAATTATATTTTTGGATTGAGCGATCAAATCTGAAAATAGAATCTTCTCTATTCAACAGCCGATTCCGTGGTGGAACTCTGCACAAAAATGTGGAATAAATACATAGAAGTTTCTTGATGGAGTATAACAACATGTGGGAACCCTTTAACTCACCTAAGTTGCACGTAGGTGTGAGTCTGTACATGCATAATTGGTGGCAATAGCTACTAGTTCTTTGTGGCCTTGCAAGGATTAAGTGTGGAAAACTGTAATATGTGCATGTGAATACACTCATTCCTGTCCATATCTGTTGCAGGAATGACATGTCAGGCTCGAAGTTCCTACCTGGATACAGAGGTGTTATGGGGCTACCGCTTCACACCTGTTTTATCTTTGGAAAAGGGCTTCTACGAAGTAGACTACAACAACTTCCATGACGTCTATGAGACCAACACTCCCACCTGCAGCGCAAAGGAGCTAGCCACCAAGCTTCGGGACGAACCACTTTTGCCTCAGCTCCCGCTTCTAAGCCCCGAACCTAAAACGCAAACTTTTGACCCCCTGGACTGCCTGTCAGAGTTGAATCCACTAAGTCAGGATGAAAAGATGGAGGAAAGAGATTCAAGTGACAGGGGAGAGAACAATGGCTTAGCTGCTGCTCTCGAGGAGCCTCCAATCACTGATTGACTTCCTGACTGAAGCATTACATCAACCAAGAAGTCCAGCAAAGACTGGAGCAGACAATGCTTCTTTTAATCAATGGCCATTTATTTACTCTGCAGTAATTTGAGACAACAGACTTTGTCTCCAGATTCCAACACATGCAATACTTCAACATAAGAGCATCAATCTATGGCATAGATTGGTTTTGTAGACAAATATATTACTCATACAGAGGCACACATTTAAAATAACTATAACTACTCTTAGAGTTTGGGGGCTTTTTATAACCACAAGGATCACCAAACTGTTATTTCACATGAGTTCAAGTTTTATGGTTTAAAGTAAACTAAAGCTGGAAGCCCTGAAAGCACACCATGAGTTTATTGTGGATGCACCAATATTCTCATTTTAAGATGTTGTAAGTCTTCATTTTTTAAGCTTCCATTCACTCCCATTGAGAAAACCTGTCTAAAAAGTCACCTTAAAAAATTCAAATGTCTGAAAGCAGCTTGCATGTGATAATAAAACACTGTTTGCATTTCTTTTATTTTAAAATAAGGAAAAAATTCATTTCCTGTTTCTGTCAGAATTAATACAACATCTCTCCCACATAAAAGTAAAGACATAGTGCTTCTAGTTTGCAAAAGAAGAGTTTGGAAGCCACTGAAATGTTACATCTACTGGCAAACATAGCGCAGTTCTGCGTTTCTTTGTTCAGCTCTTTTGTCATTGCTGTGCTGTCCTAAATACAGTCACAGTGTGTTTCTGTGTATAATGTCTTTGAACCACTGGTAGAGCTGACCCAAAAGAATCTTCATAGTACCTCATTTGGTATGCATTGTTTGAGGTTTAAAGGAACTACTATAACAAGCAAAAGCTGACAAATGCTATATATGCCACTGACTTTACTCTTCTGTCAACTACTTGGTTTGGTAAAGAGTTTATTTTAATTGTCATAGTAACAGAATAAATCCCTAAATTCAAGCCACTTTTTTAGGACAAAAAAAGCACAAGTTCTTGTAAGGGGATTTAACACTAACTCAACAAACCACAGACCTGCTGCTGTTGGCTGACGCCTGTCATTCCTACTTAGAAATGGCATTTAGAATGTTTCAGAAAAGAGAAATATTCATGATCATCTTCACTTTGAAAGGTTTCTAAGTTTTATACACAGTGCAGTATATTAATATTTCAAATATTTCAAACTAAAATACTGTATGATTCCTTTTAGACATGCAATACTTATAATTCAATGTATATATGCTTCTGCCATGCAAAAAACTTTTAAAAAAGTGCCCAAATACTATTAAAAAAATGTTCTAACATTTATTGAGTTTATGGACAACTCATTGTTTGATTTTTTTAAAATAGGTTTTTGTCTTGTGACTGGACTTGTAAACATGTTGGTTAAATGTCCTTTTTTCTGGTTTTTACTTGTTATGTCACACCAAAATTAGCATGTCAGCTACTGCTCGGGTCAGAAGTTTGCATACGCTCATGTTCATGAACGTCATTTTAGTTATTCTGAATGGCCTGTAATCGTATAGCGCTTTTTCTAGTCAAGAGAACCTCAAAGCACTTCACTCTGCCCTTTGTAGTGTGAAGTGCACACATTCACACACTGATGGTTAATTGCTGAATATAACAGATACATTTTCTGTTAGCATTATTTGTGAAAATTGTAGAGATGGGCTATAATATAAATGTAATTATTTGTCAAACATCCCATTGCAGTGTGCAACAGCACCATCAACAAGGTTTTATTCAAGGCGATATTCTGGTAGGGTATTTGTGAATTTGAACTTTTAGAGAAATTTCCTACACTAAAAGTATGTCAGCCTAATGTTGTCCTTTCCAAAAGAGTTTTTGATGCGTTTTCATTGTTCTGTTGACACTCCCAAAAGTAGGTTTAAATTGGCAGTGATGACCCAAACTATGACCATCAAATAAAATACAATTTGCATTAGTGTATGATGCTCAGGACCAACCTACCAGCTTTAAACCGGGCATTTCTGAAACACTGGCCTCAGTGAAGCTAGTTTAAACATCAATTCTGATTCGGAGGGAGCCAACTAAGAAAAAGGCACTTGTACTCAAAGTGATTCCCTCAAGTTTCACGACAAGACAAAAATTTAATCATGTGCCCAAATATATAACCCAAAATAACTTCACCTAGAATCAGAACCCAAACCCATATTTGAACACAACAGGTTATTCCAAAGGGTCCAAACACATTTACAAAAAACAACTTAGCGTTACAGGAAAACTATTTATCTGCTGTCATAAGCAGCTATGCTAACTTGCTTTAGCATTGGTGGCAGGCTATGTTGTTGTGAATCAGCTGTGGCCTAGCAAAGAGCAAGCAATAGGGGGTGAGCATTAGCATGATTGCCATGCTAATACTCCTCCTGGCTTTGATTGGTTGTTTCTGACTAAGTGGTATATTTCTGTAGAGAGAAGGCAGTGGGAGATTGTTTTTTTTTTTTTTTTTTTTTTTACAGATTATCTATTTTATAGTACACTATTACGCTGTAATGATAATTTTAACAAATATGTGGAAGTCTTTAAATATAAAAGACTTCGCCTGCAGCTTGAGGCGAAGTCAACCAAATGTTAGAGAATATAAATTTATGCATGTTTAAATATGTAAGAATGTATGATAAAGATGGAGCCATGTGTGGATGCAAGCAATTCTTGCTTAAACTTGTATAACTATTCAACTTTAAGACAGGAATTCCTTAAAAAAATCATCAAAAGTCAAAAAGTAATATGACATTCATTCTAATGAGTGTATGTAAACCTTTCACCGGACATAACGCTGGCCATGACCTATTATAGGGATTTTCAAAGGGTAGATTGGGGTTGACACAATAACACAGATTAAAATGAGTAATGTGACAAAGTCTGGGGAAAGCAAAATTATAAACATAAGAAAGCGTGACTGTGATTATTTAAATTTGGGATTTTCATGGGCTGGATTCAAAGATGTTGCACTGTGTGGCCTGCAAAGCCCCACCCCTTTTTTTTTTCATATCATCTGCCACTATATAACTAAAGTAGTTATATATTGAAACATGTATGAAAAAATAACAATAATGTACTTGGGGTGGGCGCAGTTGTTTATTTGCTCTCTGAAGGGGCGGCAATGTCTCTCATAATTTGAAAACCTCTGACCTTAAACATTAGTGTTTTATTAATTGTCATTAGAATTCAACACTTGCAGGCATAAATAAAGCATTACTCCCCCTCTTTTAAATAATATATTATAAGAAATACAGGGTACTTTTTAAGCATGCAAGTTCTGTGATTTCTACAACATGATGCATTGCTATCTAATATATTTAGAAGAAGACTAGATTTCCAGTGCTTAAATCACCTACTCTCAAAGCAGTGTTATTTTTCCAGAAATATATATGTCCATTAAGTGTCTTTCTTTTCACAGTGACATTTTAAGTACCTTTTTCTATGTAATTTAAAAGGCATTTGTTGAAAAATACATTGGTTGATATTGAGGGATCGACCTGTCCAGGGTGACCCTGCCTCTCGCTCAGAACGTTAGCGGGAGATAGGCACCAGTATAGCTCTCAACCCCTCTAGGGACAAGAGTGGATGGATGGATGGATGGATGGATGGATGGATGGATGGATGGATGGATGGATGGATGGATGGATGGATGGATGGATGGATGGATGGATGGATGATGATGGATGGATGGATGGATGGATGGATGGATGGATGGATGGATGGATGGATGGATGGATGGATGGATGGATGGATGGATGGATGGATGGATGGATGGATGGATGGATGGATGGATCATCTTCATTTTCTTAAATGTCACCTGTTTTCTGTGTGTTCTCATGAGATTAAATATGTTATGGCCAAAAGAAGAAAAACTGTATTCAGCATTTGCTTGCATAAAGAACTGGAAAAGTATGTGACTGATTTTTTTATTTTATTTTATTTTATTTTATTTTAATTTATTTTTACACATGATCTTGCAACTATAACCAGAGTAATTTGCTTCACTCTGACAGCTGTTTGGGTAACACAACTGTCTCTTCAACACATGATGAAGAGGAATTTGCTTGTGTTGAAAGATCTTTGCCTGGTCTAAAGCTTTGGGTAGAAGTGCTTTCATGCATCTTGCTAAGAGATATCATTGATCCTCACATTGAAATAATTGAGTTGACTATGAGAAGGTTGTGCAGTTAATAATCAATAACTTGTCACTGATATTCATTAGAGAACCTAGAGTGTCCCTAAAAAGCTTTGAGTCTAAAGGATTCCATTTATGTGCACAACTATCCACTTTACAAAGGACATGTTAGCATTTACGCTTCTGAAAACCAATATCACATGTGTTGCCCATATCTGTTGTTTGCCCAGATCATGTTTGTTCTCCTACATCTTTCTCCAATAAATGAACACCTACCTCATGAAAAAGATAGAATTATTAATAATGCAAATATAACTTTGACCCAGAAAAACAGTTGCAAGTATTATTGTTTTACTTTTATTTCTTATATTTAAAAAAATGACTTTTGTTTTTCTTGAACAGCCATCACGAGTGCCTGAACAATGCAGCAAGTTGACCAGTTACATCCTTCCCATTTTTGAAAGTAGGGAAACAACATGATCTTGTTGCTACCCTATTCTTGAGCCAAAAAGTCTGACTCAGTAATCTGACCAATGAAGTCTCGTAAAACTGAAATAGATATTAAAAATAATTACTAAATGTTAGTTCCATTTTTGAAGTGGTTTGGTCCAATTAACCCTATGTATCACAGTCTGATTTCACATATGTCAATATTAGATGACCATGGAGAGTAAAAGAAAGGTAATCAATGTGAAGTTGAATGAAGTTGAAGTTTGTAAGTGTTATAACAGACCTGCATCTTTTCTTTTCTCCAAAAATCAATTACAATGCAGGAGAAAATATAGACAAGTTAATAATCTTGTGTATTAACTTGTGTTAATACATACAGCCAACAGTGTGAATTCACAGCCAATTGACACTATTGGCTGTGAATATATGTATATATATATATATATATATATATATATATATATATATATATATATATATTATATATATATATATATATATATATATATATATATATATATATACAGCAGTATATATACTGTATATATATACAGCAGGGTCTCCCTGCTGTATATATATATATATATATATATATATATATATATATATATATATATATATATATATATATATATTTATTTATCACAGCGGCTGACCTGAGAGAGAGTGGACTGAAACTGGAATCAGGATATCAAGAGCCACATTCACTATGTGAAGGTAAAGGTAAAGACAATTTTATATTATAAATAAAAAACCTTTATTTTATAATTAAGAATAAAGGTTATTTATTATAAAAGTTAGTTGTTGCTATGCAACAATTGCATCGTAACAAGTCAATACAAACAACTTTACAGGAACTAAAAGGAAATACAAACAAACTAAACCAAAGGACAGAGCAAAAAAGGAAAAATAACCCAATGTTAATCTACAGTATGTAAGCTAGGCGCTCCTGTTCAGGGTTGATAGAGAAGTATATTCTGGTCTAATTCTGTTTCTGGGTTGGAAGAACAAGAGTCTAAAATGTAGTTGCTATTAGCAACTTGCTAAGATATTTTTTTCTGGATTCTAAGGAAGTTGTTCTAATCCTTGTTCTGGGTAACTAAATAAGTTTAAGTAACAGGACTGAAGGCACTCCTGAACCTCAGCAGCCTCTTACTTGAGCTACAGAAAAAAAGATGAGGCTATTTACTTAGTGGGCCAAAGTCCTTCTTCCAAATTATTTTATTGTTTGCAAATGTAACCACACAGAAAGAAGCAGAACAAGTGCTACGCTGATTTTATTAACCAGTATAGTCTCTTTGGTTTAAATCTGTTTTTGAATAAAGAAGAGAGATTTGTGTGAAGGATAAAATAAGAGGTCCATTGCTGGGCTTTTATAAAGGAAGAACATAATAGTGCAAGTTCAGGTAAGAGATATATTGGTCTGATGACTACACAATACAGACTGTAAAAAAACATTAATTTTGATATAACTTTTAGCATTGACAGTGTCAAAAAAGTTCACAGAATCCCGGCAGTGTGCAGTCAAGGCTATTCTTGTCCAAGCTATTAAACTTTGGAGCTGGATCGTCAGCAGGATGACAGTCACCGATTCAGATCTGAATAATGTACGATGATGAATCTAACGCATCCACATTAGCAGCACACTGAAATAGGTACATTGAGGTGCTTGTAACTG